CAGCGTTTGATGCTCTTTCGATTGATATATGATTTATGTAAAAAGGGAATTTTACTTGATGCTTGCTGCACTAGGTAAAAAGAGAAAGATATATCAGATCCAGCCCGGATGGCAGAAATCGAGTGAGAATCTATTGGTACAGAAAGGTGGGCAGAACTGGTGCAGAAACGAGTGAGAAAGTCCCTTAGAGATCCTCATAAAGTAGACGTGCTTGTTTCTGAAAACTTGGAAACAACGCAGCGAATGTGCATGAACGTAGCAAAAAATCGATATATTGATCGGGAGTTGCGGAACTCGGCTGAAGTTGAAAACAAAACTTGGAAATTTTCAAATGTTATTAGGCAATCGTTTGCAATGCTCAAATTCCAGATTGTCACCTTGGACTCTATTACGCTAACAATCCTATGATTTGCCAGAGTGATACTCGAAGAAAGATGACAACTACGGTGAACGCAAACTGGTGCACTCTGAAAACTCTAAAAACTTCCAGTACCTTTCCTCCAGCTTTGACAAGACGATTCATGGCACTTGATTGAGCTGCTCTCACGAGACCTTCAATCTCAGCTCCTGAGAAGTTTTTGGTGCGCTTAGCCAGATCTTCCAGATTCACGTCCGGATCGAGCTTTTTGTACTCCCTAAAGACGTTCCCATTATTTAACACGTACTCTCTCCTGCCTTGCCTACTCTATATACAAGACATATTGGAGAAAATCAAGATAGCTCTCATACCGCATTCTAGAAGTGTGAATCTTGAGGATCTGAAGACGTCCAAATTCATCTGGTAAGCTGACTTCCATTTGTACTTCCATACGTCCTGGTCGAAGCAGGGCTTCATCAATCATGTCTTTTCTGTTCGTCATACCTATATACCATCAGTGAGTACCAGAAAAACTATCAGGAAGTTCATTCGATACCTATGACCAAGATGTTGTTCAGCTGTTCAACACCATCCATCTTTGACAGAAGCTGGTTTACTACAGTATCGTGGACTGATGAGGATCCAGCCTGAATCATGCAGTTGGGTAAGCGATCAGTAAATCCGGAAGCTGTGTCTTACCATAGAACCTCTTTGCTTGCAGATGGCATCAATTTCGTCAAAGATGATGATGTGAAGGCCAGAATTAGATCCGCATCTTCTCCACTCCTCCTCAGCATCCGCAAACAGTTTCCTTACATTCGATTCTGACTCACCAACGTACTAGAAACCAACAATATATCGAAGATAAGTGGTCTAGTTGATGGCCTACCTTGTCCAATATCTGTGGACCATTGACGATTTTCGGCTCTCTGGCATTCAACATTTTGCCAATCTGGCGAGCCATCAACGTCTTACCAGTACCAGGAGGGCCAAAAAGGAGAATACCACGCACGTGCTTCATCCCTTTAGTAGCAAATAATATGAGGAAGTCCGGTTTGTATCAAAGTAAGATTACCTAGTTGCTCAATGAATTCAGGAGGGAAGACTCGTGAAGCAAAGGCGCGACGGAAGATTCCTGAAAACTCCTTATCCAGTCCACCAATTCCCATCTTCTGGAAGTCCCAATCAGGGTTGATGATAGACCGATACGCAGATTTTCTGCAAAAAAAAAACTAGTTTTGTGAGCACTTATTTGAAAATTGAGAAGTTCCTATTCAAGCCTCGAAATCCTCGGAGACTACAACCTACCCTTTACTCTTTCCTACGAGGTTCAGCTGAGATCCTTCTTCTTTATCAAAAATTATGGCTGAATTGGGCAAAAGTTGACCGCAGTCAATCTGCAAGTGAGCAGTTGCTATTCGAGCCTTAAAATCCCCGGAACGAAAAAAAGATTCTTACTGGGAAGGGTTTGGATTTTTCGTCACCAGAAGCTGCAGAGTTGAGATCAATGCCTGAAGATTGTATGAAATGAGCAGTTTTCCAATAACAAATTTTATTTTCATGGTCATTCACAAACTTTCTGGTCAACTCCAGCCATCAACATCATTTTCAGCTTTTTGAAGTCAAAATTAAAGGATTTTATTGGGAGCTCCAGAAATTTGACTCAAACTCAGATTTTACAGCTCGACCACTCCACAAAAAGCAGCATGGGCCGTCATCGTGGAAGCATTTATGCCGACTTTCACGTTCGGACAGATTTAACCGCTAGTTCTTGCTTTATCCTGGCCAACTATCCCTATTTGACACTTGGTAAACGATTCTTGGAATATTGCCAGTTGGCTTCGTAAGCATGAAAAGAAGCGAATATTCCGAAGTCTCTTGCAGGGCTCAGCAGGAGATG